ATGTCACAGCCATGGACAAGAGCACAGGCAAGGCCAACAAGATCACCATCACCAACGACAAGGGCCGTCTGACCAAGGAGGAGATCGAGCGCATGGTTCTAGATGCTGAGAAATATAAAGCTGAAGATGAAGTCCAGAGGGAGAAAATCTCTGCAAAAAATGCCTTAGAATCCTATGCTTTTAACATGAAGAGTGCTGTGAGTGATGAAGGTCTGAAGGGCAAGATTAGTGAGTCTGATAAAAAGAAAATACTAGATAAATGCACTGAGGTCCTTTCATGGCTGGAGGCCAATCAACTGGCTGAGAAAGATGAGTTTGATCATAAGAGGAAGGAATTAGAGCAGGTGTGTAACCCTGTCATCACTAGACTCTACCAAGGAGGATGTACTGGGCCTACCTGTGGAACAGGATATATGCCTGGAAGGCCTGCTACAGGCCCTACCATTGAAGAAGTAGATTAATCTTTTCAGAAACTGGAGTGTTCTAGGGTGCCTCTAAGTGAATTTGTTCCCCCATCCTCAAACATCATTATGATTCTGAAATTGACTGGACCTGAACCTAAGTTACTATCCCTTTGGGATTCTGATGGAGGAGTCTCATACACCATCTTTTCGCACTCCTCAATGTCCTGTTTCTCACTCTGGAATGGACTCTTAGGAGAACTAGGTCCCTCTTGGAACCGTATGATGAATTTCAATGTCTGTTATTTATTTCTGGCCACCCTAACTTTCTTCTTCCTGTGTGGATGGTTATTTGTCACTCAGTAAATTTGTTCCTAAAGGAAATTACTTGTGGTGTCTTTACGCTGTGAGTGTACCTTGAAAAATAAGGAAAAGTAGAGTTCTTGTGGTCTCTGATTGTGAATGATTAAACTGGTAAGGGTAAACTATTTGAATTTTTATGAGCTCTTTGTTTCAAACAAGAAGTAATGTTTGATCTTCAGGCACTTTAGCCCAGATGGAGTTAACTATACAAGGTGTCCCAAAAGTCACTCATAAAGGGCTCGGCACCTATAGCTCAACCGGCTAAGGCACCAGCCACGTACCCCTAAGGTGGCGGGTTCGAATCCCCAGCC